GGTTGGGAACGGCGGAAAGGGGCGTGGCAAAGGAGACAGGGGTTTGCTAGAACACGTTAAAACAGGGATGCTAGCAGATGGAGGTACTTGGGTACTTTGTTGTTTTTGGGTGCCGCGTCGTGTGTGCCCCGAGGTAGGGGGTGTGTGTCTAGCACAGAAGTATCTTTTGGGGCAGGAGACAAGACGGTCACTCTTGCGCTGAGGGCAGGATTATGAGTCGCTCCTGCTCACGGTTGTTCCGTGCCTTCTTCTCTGGGCTTCGCTGCGTTTGCTTCTTCTGCCTCTTTCCTTCCTCGAGATTAGTCACACCTTGCGACTTTGGCAGCCACGCGAAAAGAAGGCACTATTCGCGGGTTTGTCCTTCAGTCCGGTCCTTTGTCTTGTTGTTTATTGGCTACTCTTGGTTGCCATTGGCTGGCGTGGTCTCCGTTTTCGACCGTTTTCTCGTAGGTCCCGTTTGCTCTCCTGGCTGGTCGCTTTTGCGCAACCTGTCACAGCGTGCGACGTGCCTTCTATTCGTTCTTTCGCCTTCCAGTGCATGCGCTTCAGCTTGCTAATGCTGCCACGCACAGCTGGCTTGGTGCGGAAGGTGCGAGAGGCAGCCAGTGCAAACGAAGCAGTCGCGACGGATAATTGCGACCGAGGACTTGGATGCCCTCGCAAATTCTCGACTCTCTCTTTGGACTGCCTTTTTCTCGCCTCTTACTTTTCTCGTTTGTTGTCTTTCTTTCTTCGTGCTCTTCGAACCCTCTTTCTGGTATTGACAGTGGGTCGATTGGATGGAGTCTTCGAGTCGCTGGAAAAAAAGGCAAATATCCGCAGGACGCCCACCCCGGCTCACGATATGGGGCTGTAGAATCAGGGCAAAGCAGGGCACAGCAGGGCACCAGGGCACTTGAAATGCAGCTCGTACCCTTTTTTGCTTATGCGACTGGGATGTGTCGATCGGATTCCTTGGTGATGGAGTTGATGGAGTCGGATGGAGACGATGGAGACCCTGAATATGGAGGACAGTGATAGAGGTGACGCTTGGGTCTGCTGTTGCGTGCAACTGCCAATTTACCAAATCCCAGTCTAAGCGAGATTGGGTTGAGTTCCCTCCCGAGGTTTGTTCGTTGGAAAACAAGGCACTCGAAAGCGAAGGAGCATGCAGACGCGAGAAATGGGTCTGGTCCTGCTTTCTGTTGTCGCTGTTTGTTCCCCTTGTTTACGTCGTAGTTCTCTTCTGCGTCCTTCTGGGCGCACAACCGCTCCGTGCCTTCGGTGATGGCCGGTTTCGGGTGACGGCGATCACAGCCGTTTCGTGCCTCCTGAAAGATATTGAACAGAGGAGATGGCTGCCTGCTTTGTTTTGCAGCCGGTCGTGCCTTGGCCGGTTTGCCGTTGACGTTGGCGCAGCCGTTGGGTTGGGCGTGCTTACGTTGGGTAAGACGAGGCTTTGGCAAAATGCGCAATCCATGCAGAGAAACGAGGCGCCATCGACGTGTTTATATAGGCCTGGCTTGCAACGGAACATTAGGCCGCGATGGTGACGAGGCCGCGATGGCGAGAAGCAGGTTTGGAAGGCATCTCGGAGTGTCACAAAATCCGACATGCCTATCAAGCAACCAGGTCCCGGATGAGTGACCTGGCGAGTGAAGCATAGGAAGCAAACGTGAAGATAAGATACCGTCCTAGAAACAAGAGACGTGAACGGGCCTATCCTCGCAAAAGCATCGCCGAGGCTGCTGCAGTGCTGACGTCGTCTCTTGCATTCTTGGGACGATTTAGGGCCCTGCAGGAGGAACCCGTGCGAATCCGTGCATCCCCCTTCTGTTCTGTCGCCACAAGTTAACCGTTTGTGGCCACTTGCCTTCCCAAGATGCGACGCTTTAGCAGGCACCCGTCATGGCAGCGGCAAAACGCCAAATGCCAGACACCGACATAGTGGTGCCCCGGGCTTCCGAGCAGGTGGCTGACGCGGATCTGTGTGATGCGATTCGCTCCTTCCCGTTCCAGACAGGACTCCGGACGAAACAGAATACACACCACAGTTGCGGAAGGCACGCTCACATAAAGTGACACAGGCGATACTCTCTCACTCTATCACTCTGTATTACCCTATATCCGTACGACGAAGTACTTACTCTTTTTCATTCATCCACCATACCCATCCTGCAGTGCTCACTTTTTCGCCTCCCTTCCCGCTCGTTCCGTCGGTGGTGCGCGGGCACCATTTTTAGTGTGGCACTTGCGGACACTTACATGCCCTGATGCCGTTTCGCGCAGTTCGCTTTCTCGTTCTCATATTTGTACACAGTAGTCGTCCCCAGCCACGCTATTTTGTGACGACAATTGCCTGTCTCGGGTGGATCGAGATGTTGCTGTTCAATCCCATCCCTTGTCCGTGAAGAAACGCACGCACATGACCATGACGCACATTCCCAGTGGAGGCCGGGAAACCGAGGGGGGAGAGTTGGGGGACAGACTGGGGAGGGAAGGCCTGGACCAGCACAGGCCTGGGCCCAGCAAGGACCAACGGCGTGTGACCGCTGGACCAGTGGAGCTCCAGAGCCAATGATAACGTGAACCACTACAGTGTGGTAACCAGCATGAAGCCTCGCCAAAAAGTGACAAGCAGTGAGAGTGGCCTGAGCGACCTTACTGCTTCGTAGGGGACCTTACTGCTTCGTAGGGACGGGGGAAATAGTGTGCGGCGTAACCCCGTCGTCCCTCCGTATTACTCCGTAATACATGAGAGACCAATTCCCAACATTTGTCACCTTTGTGAACGTACGTTAATTTCGGTATCAACAGTACCAAAAGCGATTACATTTGACGAGAAACATAAAGCGGAATGAGGACATGGCCTCGATGACTCATGGGCAAGTTGTCTCGCGGTTAATGACTTCGTTGATGTTGACAATGAACTGAAGGAGGCTGCGCACGGAGAAATAAAAAATAAAATAAAATAGAGGATCCGTCCATGATGAACTTTGATGAGCTCGACGTCATAGCCCTTATGCATTGTTGCTTCCTCTTTCTCTCGTCATTCTTTGGTAGCAGTGCCCCATGTAGCGACGCTCGCTCATGCAGTTGCAAGGATCCGAATGAGGGCATGAATGCCACGAGGGGGGACCATCTAGGCGATTCGAGGAAAGAAAGACAAAAAGTGCACAAATCTGCATGGTTGGGGTGGCAGGGTGGTTCGCTAAACCCGGTGGAGGCGTTCGGGACGGTGCCTTCAAATGCAAACACGAAAGGCCACGATTTTGGTCGATTTGCGCTAAAAAGCGGAGAGCAGATGGGAAAGGATGGCTCCCGGGTGGGTAGCTGCAGCCAAAAAGGTCACGGCACGAGGGCACTAACGCACTCTGCAGGAGGGAGAGACGCCAAAACAGGAAAACTGAGGCATGGAGTGGGAAGGCTGGAAGGCTGGGAAGGTTCCTTGTAGGTCTCTGGTGCTTTGTCTGGGGTACAAACCTGCAAGACAATCTCGTTCCATCCAGTCTCCATCTCGTCCCATCTCGTCCCATCGTGGTGTGTTCTCGCCCTCCAATCAATTTACTCGAGATGAAAATCGGTTCCGTGTTCCGCACCAGCCTTTCTTCACCCTTCCACTTCAAGTTCACTTTACCCGGCCAAGAGGAAGGCGAGCAAGGCCAGGCGAGATTGACGATACGTAGTAAGTACTCGAAAGTACAGCAAATGTACTCTGTATAGGTTCTAGACAGGCACAAGTCGCGTGAGTTGGTTCACAATATGTTGTGGTCACGAACGCCTCCTCTGGCGGCACGGTGATATGGAACTGTCTCTCCGACTAGAAAACGGCAGGTGAATAAAGAAGAGAAGCGAGAGAGCAAGCGAACGCACTGCCCAAAAAGTGACACGCACAATTTTTTTTAATGTTTTTTTTTTTTAAAAAAAAATAAGAGGTAGTTTCTCTCCGTCAAATAATTTAAAGGGTTACTAATTGTCTTTACTATTTTGAATCCCGGATCGTATATTTTTTTAAAGCAATTTAAGAAAGAATATCTTTCGCTTCAAGAGGAAAACACTGAGCCGTTTTGGTCTTTTATCCTCCCTTTTCATCTCATATTCACAATCGTACTTGGCCGTGTAAGTTTGCATATTCCGCAGCCACCATCAACGGATCGAGGCAAGAGTGACTTGCATATGTGCTGTGCCTCATGTGTGCACTCTTGTTTACCAGGTAAACGACGAACAAAGACTGCTGCCTGCACGTCGAAATGAGCCACCCTCTCGACTCCCAGTTTATCTCCCCTTTGCCGTCATTTAATCGCAATGTCTACCTCTTGGCCCGTGTCTTGTGTACAACCTTGTCTCCGAATTAATATAAACTCCGAGCCAGGTGAGCAAATACAGGCAAGTGAAGGGCATGCGACAGCGGCAAGGCAAACGGCAATTAAATTAGACAAGAATAAAAAACACACAAAAAACACAGAGAGATAGTCTGTTGGCCGCTTTTGGACATCTAGATTTGCTGCCACTCATTGAACCGAACATGCCCGTTCCATGGACACGTTGGTCCCAGTATCTCGAATGGTTACTACGTTTCGACAAAAAAAAGGCCAATGATGCATGCTTACCTCTTTGTACATGAGACAAGGCAGAAGACGAAAGACAAAATACATGGGCAGCGGTGATGGCGATGCTACAAACAGCGGTCGGGCGAATGACGGTGCGACGGAGCACAAAGCAAAACAGAGACTATTAATATGGGACAGGATGGCTCGGTTCTTCTGAAAAACAAGAACAATATACGGCGATGAGCCATCCTCGGCTCCATGCCGTGAGTGCGCGTATAAAAGAAGGTTCCAAAGAAAGTGCTCGTTAGGACGGGATCGCTGGGTAAAGAGAGGCGCAGTGAAAAAAGAGAATGATAACGGGCCAACGTCGACTCTACTGACTCGGAGGAGTATTATTTGCCAAATCCCCAATCAATTTGCATGCTTGCGTTTTCTTCACTTGAGCCCCTGCCTTCTGCTTCTCGCAACAAAATGGGGTTGGATGCATCGTCGTACAACGCAGTACGTCGTACACCGAGGCAACATGTATCTTGCACGAACAACGCCGTGGCAAAGGACTGTTTCAGTGAGAACGAGAATACGACGACCCTCGGTACACGAGCGAGACACGAGCGAGACACGCAGGCGCCACAAGGAGAGCGTAGCACAAGATGGCGTACGACATACGTCCGACAGTGGCACGGGAAGACAGACGGTGAGTAAGACCAGCTGCATTGTGTCCCTTGTTGCGTCTTTTTGTAGTAAAGCCCCAAGCCTCCTCTGCGCTGCCTTGTGTTCTGCCAATCCTTTTGTTGCAATGCAAGAGCCCTTGTACACTGGACGGGAGATTGAAAAGCAAACGAAAAAAAAAAATTCAAAAATGAAAAATTCAGAACGGCCGGAGTACCAAAATTTGGTTCAACCAACGGGCAGCTTTCCATTTCCCGTGTAAACATGTAATTCCGACGTACGAAGTATGTTCCCGCCACAGAGAATGCAAAGAGAAGACGGTCAAATAACAGTTGAAGATCATCCAAGAGGCATCCGACACTCGCCCATCCCTTGACTCAGTTGCCTCCAAACGTCCTTTTCAGCCCGCCTGGTCCTGGAGACGCCGCTTCGTAAACCTCGTGGAAAAACAGCGCCTTTGGCGTTTTCTAGAGGTGTGTAGAATTGGCCCCCGTTTTGTTGTTTACTCCTACTTTGTTTTCTCGTCTTTCTTTGCCCTGCTTTGGCGGCCCCGTCCCGTCTTCCGCGTCCCGTAGTCTGACAGTCCGTCGCTTTTTCGATGCACTAATTTTGTGGGCCGGGCTCACCGAATTTGGACGCAATTACAGAGTACTGAATATTGCCCGTCGTACGATGTACTTGGACGGTCTAAAATCTCGCAAATGGCATCCGTTTTGATCTCCGTTTTCAATTTTCTTCGTACGACTTGTCCTGTCACCTCCCATTCCTCATTTCCTGGCATGCGGTGTGTCTCTGACTAGATCGACGCGCACCCAAAGTGTCGGTGAGTCTCAAAAGATGCCAGTCAGGCCGTGTCAAGCACGGGCAAGACGATCCGTATAGGTTTTGTAAAGAAAGAAGAGGGAAGAAGAGACAAGTGGGAAAGAGAGAGGACGGGCCAGATGCCGGCGCGGCGCAGAAGACAAACAATCACGGCAAGGGAAAAGTATCTTGACCGAAGGGGTGTGTAACTTTGCACAAACAGTATTTGTGCCCCCTATTTTCTTATTTCTTTTTTTCCTGGCTTCCTTCTTCTTTCCTGCTTTGTCGATGAGAGTGTCCACACCTTCAACTTTCCCCCTAAACTAGCGCCCATAGTGGAGCTGCACCAAATATCGGGCGAAATTTTGGGAAATGGAAAAGGAATGGAACAAGCGGGACCCTCGGATCCCAGACGAGCCAGAGCAGCGGCCTGGCAGGGATGTTACGAGGGAGGGAACAGCAGAAGAGTGAAGAGGCAAGAGAAGAAAAAAAGAGGGAAGAACTGGTAGAACAGGAAAGAGTCATACATAATACCTCGTCGTTGTGATTTGAATAGTCGTTTAGGTCTCCTTCCATTCGAAAGCGCAAGATACAATAGAGAAGAGAGAGCGACATGGAAAGAAAACGATAACAAATGCCAGGAACTCAAAATAATACCAAGGAGCGGAATTGCGCCGAGAAAGTGCCCCATCTCTCCCTTCCACCGAAAAGGAACGCGGTACGAGATATTCGTACAGGTATGAGTGCTGCGTTCACAGCATACAAACGTACGTAGCAGACGTGTGATCCTTTACTTGGTAACAGTCACCGGCCGTCAAAAAGTAAACATGCCACGGGCTTCCCAACAAACTTGCTTCCCCTGTCTTGTTTTTGTCGTTCGGCAAAATAAAAAGAAACTCCGCGCAGACTATTGTCCAGGATCCTTGCGGGCAACAGAGTGCAGCTTGGCCTGGGCCCTGGCTACTATTGATATTACTCGTGTGCACGTACCAAGGCACAAAAATACGGAAAAGGTGTAGAAAAGAGGACAAGCAAACGAGAACAGAACAGAAAAAAAAGACGAGGGACTTTAAGACGTAAACAACGGGGGTTTGGCTATTATTCAGCCGAGCCGAGTGAATCATAGCCGTCGCTTCCTGCCTCACTTGCCCTACTCAAACGTTTCCAACCTTTCTGTTGTCGTTCACCGATTTTTTGATTTTTTTTGCCCTCGTTGTACGACGTACATCATCTCGTCTCTGCTGAATGCTCTAGCGGTGTGAAGACGGCATTTCCTGCTGTCCATTTGCTTTTGCCTCCTTTTTCCATTGTCTCGTCTTATTCGGGACCCTTGCCCTACCAAGGTCGAATCCCAAACAGAAAATTTTGCCACAATTCTCCCACCCCCTTTTCCATCACACCCCTGCCAAACACCCACAAACTCTCTCGGTTGGTCCCTTTCAGTTTTCATCTTTTTAACCAAAAGACATTTTCTGCTTCTTTTCATCCGGTCTCCTATCCCGTTCTCTCGCTTCCGTCTTCTTATTTCAACACGGTATACAATGTAGCCTACAATCTTGTCTCATAACAAGAGGGCGTCGTGGAATAGGGGCTAGGAAAACTGCGAGGCTGCTGGGGATTTCTCAACTAATTTTTCCGTCCCTATTGTTCTCTTCTTCTGACTCACAGGTCAAAAAAAAAAAAAGCCCTGCCAAATGTACTGGCTCGACGACGTATAATTGTCGTTTGCGAAGAGCCAGAGAATTCTTTCCTGCAAGTGGTCGTGTCGTTGGTCACTGGCGTCCTGCGTTGCGGTCCAATCTACTCCGTTGTACGGAGTACGTCGTATGCCATGCGTCTGCGCGAGCAAAGGACACGGAAAAGACGAGGTTTCGCTGCTGCTCACCGCGTTGCCTGCACGCTTGACAAACACAAAACACGGTCCGCTCCCCGATTGGGTAGCCATACATGAACATCATAAGTTTGACAGCAAAACTTATGAGTTGTGACGAGAGGCCACCACCCACACTTCTTGTTTCTCGATTTCTCGACTGCTATTTTCTCCTCTAAACATCTTTATGCATGCTGTAAACTACACCCTGTCGCGCCCAGGCAGCTGCAGACAGTGCACTTCTCTGCCCTTCCTACGCTAATCCGTACCTGGCAATTTTATATGCCGAGATCAATATCCCTGTCGCGTCTTTTTTTGTCTGTTTATGCGGCGTTGGCGCCTTTTGCTCTCTCCGTCTCCTATTGCCTTTTAACGAGACATGTGATTGTTCTACAAGATTTTGTTCACGAAGAACGAGATAGAAGAATGGGTCTCAGTGGGAAGAAGAAGGAGGAAGAGGAGGACGATGAGAAGTCGGTATGATGAATAATTCAAACAAGAAATTTAACGTGTCGACAGAGCGTTGTATTGCAGCAGAAGAGACAACTGGCGGATGGCCGTTTCCTACCCCTGCAAAAGACACCCGTCCCAGAAGACGTAAGATGGGCAGGAAGAGGATTACAGCATACAGTTAAAGGATACCACTCGGACATACACATAAGATACATCGTTCGTATATCGTAAAGCCCCAGGCGGGACGACAGCAAGGCCGAATGCACAAACACAAAGGCCCGCAGCCCACCGAAGGGGCTTTGTTGTTTGTTGTCATTCAACCCTACGACGTAGAAGACCATTCTACTCCACCGTTGAGCTCATCGTGCAGGCGAGCACACGAGCAGTATTTTCCTAGCGTGATGCAAGTCGCTGCAACGATGATGCCAAATACCAATGGGCGGTGCCCACACCCACCCACACAACAAGAGACACATGCGAGCGAAACAAATCAGCCCAGCGTTTTCTGCATGCAAGAGCAGCGCCGACATGCACACGCCCCTGCGATTTGCTTGACCTTGGGCTGAATTATTTCCTACGGTGTCGGTTGGTACTGCATGCAGAAAAGGTCGACCGTTGTCGGTTGTTGCTGTTGCTGTTGCTGTTGTATTTGGTGTCTTTTCTTCTCTCGCCGCTTCCAAAAATGGAGACTATGGAGGGGCAGTCGTCACTTTGACATCGACAGTGGCCATGTTTGGTGGTTCCCTCTTCCATCGATCTCACTTGGTGTGGCCTTGCATGGCCTGGCCGGGTCTGGGCTGGACTGACCCGGCCGGTGGCCGCCCTGGCCATGCCGCGATGGCCCTTTGGTTGGGTCACAACAAAACACGATTTTCTGGCCAACCGACAAGACCTAGGCCCGGAATCAACAAGACGGCCAGCCGGTGGAGGCCAGGTCGAATTGGCCGGCTGCTCGGCGTAAACACATGAAAGTACAATGCTTTTGTTTGACTCCAAACTGGCACGCCCCTTGCTGCGAAGGCCTCCATGTTAGCATGATCAACATACCTCTTGCATGGTCTCCGTCGCCCCGTAGCCTTCACCGACACTTTAGATATTCTGTCCGCTTTGCTGTGAACCAATCGAGCCTCAGGGCTTGTCGGCGTCCGACAACCGGGAGGGGTAGCTAACCAGACACAATGTATCATTGCCCCTCTTCCCTCGTGTCGTTCTTCCTTGTACTGTTATTTTGACTTCCAAGTTTTCGCATTTATCGTCGTTTGCCGATTCTATCTGCATCATGCGTTGTCCAACGAACTACGACCGGACACAGGCCAAGGGACCGGTCGTATGCTCCGAGATGCTGATTGTAGACCGGATAGAACATCCGGCAAATCTCCTATTGTCGGAATAGCAGAGACTCTTGTATCCACGTTGGGCGTAAACAGGTACCAGTAACCTCAGCACGATTGCTTGTTGCTATATATCGTTATCAACGTTTTCAGACGGAACAGAAATGACACTATCAGCGAGGAAGATTTACAAGTACAGGCAAATCAAAAGACGTGAAGTGCGAGGAGCACAATATCGTTGGCAAAAGACAACACGCTCGATGTGACGTTTGACGATTCTTCATTTGACTTGCTTCACTATCACTGCCAATATCACTGCCATGACAGCATCGGCGCACGACGCCTTGTGTTTGCTTGTTTACTTAATCGACATCTTATGCCATTCTTATTTAATATGTCCTGATATGGACGCCGGTTTTCTTTTGTGATTGCTCTTTGCGTACCATAAAGTTGTGGTCATCAAGGTGAACGGCTCCCTGCATGATGGTATATAGCTTACAACGCATATGATGCATAGGGACCGTGACCCTGTCCTATTTTCTCGGATGAACATCCATTCCTGCCAGTACTGTTTCTGTGTTTCAGCTCCCCATGAGTCACATAGCACCACATCAGTTGGCACCTTATCAGTTGGCATCTTGATCCCATCGCCGTACATGGCATGGCAGGAGAAAACCCACATCAATTCCCCCGAAAGCTACAATGTTAACACTTGATACTACCGCATCTGCATGCTGCATTGTCCTCAGTTTGGTCGAGTCCACTGATACATGTGCCGTCTGCATCAAGGTTTGCAGCTTGCCACATCAGCAATGCCCCTCTCGTTCCATGATACTACGTTTTTCACTGTCGAGATCACCCCGCCGTGGGTCTCTGTCACGGACTCAAAGGCTACAGATGCTCCGGCATCGGGATCCTGGTGATAAGGAACGATCCATAGTTGACACTCCCGAAGCCCAATATGTCCACTTCGGATGAACAGAACTACATGTCCGTTCATTCCATGTGCTGTCCCGTCTATCCCTACAAAAGGGCGAGGTAGAGCGACGGTAAAGTCTGGAACTGACGGGTCATCAGGCACAAGAATGATGCGTTCTAGCTGAATAGGCAAGAAGAAAGGTCAAAAGACAGATGGATCAGGGCCAAATCGAGTTGCCTGGTTGGGTTTCAGTGAAGAGTGTGGCTTGGCTGTCTTTGTTAAGTCCAGCACAGCCCTGATGGAGAACACGTATATGTACATACTTCCAGAGTATTTCTGACGTTCTCTTCTAAGATTTTCTGTTACCCGTTGTCCCCTTGGAAACGCGATTCCAGCGACTGAAGAAGGGGTGTGACTCGACTTACACGGCCGTTTAAGGTTTCCAGGCCGTTGGGTCGTGGCTGTGTGTCCCCACGTGATCGTTGGGCTGCAACAACGTCTCTCATCTGATGGCGTGTCCGTTCCGATTAACTTTCCGGCCACTCTTGCCAACCAGAGAGCGCAACGTCTTGTGAGGCTGCATGATTTTATTTTTGGGGGTTTCCTTCACCTCAGGAAATGACTACCGCGTCTTCCACAGTCCTTCTGTGGGCTTCCATAAACAAGTGCCTTGTTCGTTTTTATTTCCGATTTTGTTGACAAATCGTGCGCCGTGCATCGATTTTTGCGCTTGACCGACAGTTTTATTTGTTTGCCTGAATTTGCACTGCCCGTTTTTGTAGTCACTACTTTCCCACTTTTCTCTCATTTTATATTCTCAAAATGGTACATTCAAAATTATATTTCATTATTTTTCGTCCAAATTACGGTGTACACACCCCCTCTGGTCACAAGTACCTCTTTCTTCACTGTGTGATTGGGCCGCAAAGGAACCACTGATGAATCGAAAAGCTGACGATGATGCCTGGCGTTGGCTCTCAGTCTGGAAAGGGGGGTTAAATAAGAAGTGAAATACGGAGTACGACATACAATGGTCGTAAATGTGATTTGATGCTATTCGACTTTCTCTTTTAGTTTAATTCACACATCGGCCTCTCTGTTGCCCTTCTGCTTCGCGGTTATTATGCCACTATTTGCACTCGCCTGTCGTTTGTCTCCCCCTAAAGAGTGAGTCATTCGCCACTCCTTCGCTTCATTCTGGTGAGTATTTTGGTTGGTTTTCCCGTTCCTGTTCCAAGTTGCGCTCCTATTTTCTTGAAGAAAGAGGTCGACCCAAGATTTGCACTAACACGAATAACGCCTTTCGCTCCGTTCCGTAGTGGACGAGCTATTTACAAGTCGAATTTGCCACCCCCTTCTTCGCATCCGCCCTTCCCCTTTTCCATCACTGGCCTGTAGATATATTTTGTCATGCGCAAAGTAAAAAGGAGGCAGAAATTCACAGTGGTAAGCCAATAATTCAGACCGTGATGAAAATTGCCGTCCGCCTATTATAACCACAGCGGCGTGAAGTTGCCCACCGTTGGTTCCAGTAAATGTTCACGGTCGTGTAGGCGCACTTGGGTTGGAAGGATGTCGTCCAGTCTTTCGCGTAGGCAGCCGTCTCACGCGTGAGACGACGAGTGGGAGAGTGGCTTGGTTTGCCAGTTGCAACAGAACCTAGGCCGGCCGTTGGTTGTCGTCGTCCCAGTAGCGCGGGTCCTGTGCCTCGTCGCAGACAGCCAAAAATGACACTGATGGCCAGTACGAGGCTGAAAACCAGTGTCTGGCCATCGATTGGACCGTGATGACAGCCCTCTAAAGGGTTACAACAGGGCTGCCTTTTGTTTTCATCTTCGCACTAAGCATGACACAGCGCATTTAGTATAGCATGTGATTTCTTTTCATAGCGCACTCTGCCTTCGTATGTGTTTATTTTCTTTCTTGATCTAATGTCGTTCCTGAGCCTTGCTTCGCCAGGCGTTGCTTGCTCACGACACTACTCTTAACTTCACTAACAAGCTCACCATTTCCCTAGAAAACGCGGGTTGTATCTTTACATCAAAAGTACTTCACGGCCATTAAAACGCCTCACGATATATTTTGTACACCCCTCATGAGTGTCATAAATTGATGTACCTCTCGTTTCGCACCGAAAAGCATGGAAAGTTGGACAGAAACGCAGCAGAACTCGGTCACATGCCTCTCCTACTAAGCGATAAGGTGTTAGAATAAGCCTCAGAGTTTCACGAATGAGGCTGACTATGTGCTTGAGCGTTGAATAGGATAAAGTAATAGGTCGCTCTTGTTTCTATTTATTGATTCGGCGACGGCCATGGGAAGTAAATGACAGAACTGTGACTCTTTCTATGACTAATGGTGATATGAAATACTGTTCCTGACTGTCATCGAGATCTCCATAACAAGTTGGCCTCATTTTGCATTTTGTTTTAATTCCAATATGAATTTCTACAATAAGACGAAAAAGGTTGTACATCTGGTTCGTCGATAACGAGGAGGTAACGGAACAAATATGGAGAAATAGAAGAGAAGCGGACAACCAGAACAAAAAAAAAAAACACACATGAGGCGCACTCAAGGCGCAAGGCAAAAGTTGTGACAGCACATGCAGTTTCTCTGTGCCATGTTGTCCTCGTGATCAACCATGTGCCTGGCTGTGTGACCAGGCCTGAACCAATCGCTAGTGTTATTGATGCTGCTCTGTTGGCTTCCTGTTTTGGACAATCGGCCCAGAGAGTGGAACTCGTGTTGTGCAGATTACTGTGCGTTTTGTTAGGGCAGGAGCGAACGAACAAGGCTGGCGACGACAACACATTAGGAAGGATCCATAGCAAGACACGAAACGGAAGGCAGGAGGAAGCGAGCGAGACGCAAAAGCGCACTGTCCATTGCTGTCACTTACTCATCCCCTTCCGCCATGGACGAACGCGCCCGCATCCCCGTGACGCTGCCACGCGCACACCCCACGAAACCATTCTGGCAGGACCCGCCCGATGCCGATGTGGCCGACCTGCGCTCCACGCCGGAGCTGCTTGCGGCTGCCGACATCGTGATTGTCGGCAGCGGCATCACGGGTGCGTCGATTGCATACCACCTGCAACTGCAGCAGCGGCAGCAGGCGTCGTCAAAAACAGCGTCGGTGCTGATGCTCGAAGCCCGTCAGGCCTGCTCAGGCGCGACTGGCCGCAACGGCGGGCACACCAAGGCGGCGTCGTACCGGTCGTTTCGGGACCACGCGGCGGCGCTGGGCGTGGAGGCGGCAGTGCAGATTGCGCGGCTGGAGCTGGCTGCGATCCAGGGCGTGCACCGGCTGGCGGGGACGCTCCCACGCGGAGACGAGCCGAGCGAGGACGCAGTCGAGTGCGACTCCCATCCCTGCGATACGCTCGATGTCGTGTACGACCCGACAGAGTGGGCCCAGGCCCAAGAGGCGGTGGCGGCGATGCAAGCGGCGATGCCGGCGGGCGACCCGGCGGCGGCGTACACGCTGTACAGCCGCGACGAGGCATTGGCGCAGTTCCCGTGCAGCGACCATGTGGATGCAGCGACGGGCGCGGTGACACTCATCTGCGGAGTGGTGCGGTACCCAGCCGGCAGCGTGTCGGCGTACCGGTTCACGGTGGGCATTGTGAAGCGGTGCCTCGCCAAGGGGCTCAACTTGCAGACGAACACGCCGGTGGTGAAGATCGAGAAGCACCGAGACGGCTGGACCGTCGTGACGGACCGCGGTGCCGTCTCGGCCCGCCATGTCGTGCTGGCTACCAACGGCTACACGGCACACCTCGTGCCGGCGCTGCAGGGGGTCGTGGTGCCGCTGCGCGGACAGATCACGATGCACCGGCCGGGCAGCAAGATGCCGGGAGGTGGCGCCGGCGGTGACACAAGAGACAAAACAGACAAAACGGCCTTGGAGACCACGTACAGTTTCATCTATGACCAAGGCTACGAGTACATGGTCGCGCGGCCGCCCGGGTCAACGTGTGCCGGCGACATTGTGATGGGCGGTGGGCTCAAGTTTGCCGACACCACCAAAGTGGGCGGTGCTGGCACGGGCGGCCTTTGTGAATATGGCTCGACAGACGACACGACGCTCAACCCGACGGTGTCGGCGTACCTGCGGGAGACGCCGATCCGGTACTTTGGCCAGGGTTGGGGGGGAGATCATCCAGATGGGCGTGTGCGGGCGGAGTGGACGGGGATCATGGGCTACACACCAGACGGGTACCCCTTGGTGGGTGAGATGCCGTCGCCCGTGTCGGCAGGGGCGGACAACAGCGGCCTCTGGCTGTGCTGTGCGTTCCAGGGCCACGGCATGGCCTACTCGTGGCCATGCGGACAGGCACTCGCGGCCATGATCCAATCCGCGGAGGTGGACGACGAGGCAAAGCTACAAGAGGAGGATGCCGCCTTACGACAGTGGTTCCCCGACTGCTTCCGTGTGACAGAGGCGCGTCTGAACCTGCGGTTTGCAGGACGGTTGCATTAGTCGGGCAGAAGGGTGGGAATGATGGAGGAAGCAGTGACTACGATCTACCGGCACATCTTTGGCACAATGCAGATTGCTGTTGAACGGCATCGGACCGTCTCCCATCCCAGGAAACGTAGCAGCACACGAGCACACACATAGAAACGCTGCAAATGGTCTCGTTCGCCTTCTTGCTACGCAACCGTAGCCTGAGTCGTGCCTTTCCTTTCGCTCGGATTAGATTTGCCGTTGTGACCACGGTATCCTCTTCTGCAGGACGAATATTGCGCACATGGACCCTTTCGCACAAGTTGGCACCGGCACTGGTACCGGCACTGGCACCGATCTGGATACACTCCAAGTGTTGCCCTCTTACCACTCCCTTCGCTTGTACAACAGAAAACCTGCTCGTCCGACGTCACTCTCAGAAGCCACCCTGGCCTGTCCTGCCGTCTCTTGCATATTGTGTCGGCCGTTGTCTGTCGTCCGCACCTGTCGTTGGTCGTGGCGTACGTTGTGGTGGCGGACGGTTTGGCCCATGGCGGCTTCCTACGAAGCACTTTTTAAACACGCAAGCGAGCACAAAACGTTGTCCGCCTACAAGCAGAAGTGCTTTATGTTCCTTCTCTCTCTCTCTCTGTCACACACACTCTCTTTACAACCCCTCTCTCCTGGCGTCGAGCATACATAGACTCAGAAAGCGTCTCGGGGCTCGCCGCAGACTGCGGGCGTTCGTTCTCCTCCTTTTTTGGACGGGATCTGCCCTTTTTGGCAGGTTAGAAGGGCTTGGGATATATTTAGAAAAATAAACAAGGTGTGCCCGCCCTGGTGTGACCGGCAGCGGCACAGGCTCGCTTCCGGCCGTGAGTTGTTCATAACCCCGTCATAGTTGCCTCGTTTCTCCTGCTTCTGTTTCTGTTCCCAGCCACACTCGTGTGCAGCTGGTTTCCCGATTCAGAAGCTCGTATCCGAGAATCTCGGGACTTTCCAGCTGAGACTATGTGTGTCGTCTTTTGAGCTCTGTTTTTTTATTCTTATTTTCTTTTCATCTATTTTTGCCCTCTCGGCCGTCTCTTTACGACCCTACCTCCGGACCCCGCCTCGCCGTGCATGTCTCGCATGCATTCTCCTTTGGATCCGGGTCATCGTACTGCGTATCAGTACTTTGTCATGCCGACAACGCACGATTCGACAACATAATACAGCAGTATGCCGTGCGGAATTCTTCCCTGTGAAATCCGACAGGGGGGAGCCTTGGGGGCTACAAAATAAAGTGGAAACGGTGCCAGCGGATGGGGACGACATCGTCTCACCGTGCAGACGCACCACGGGAAAAGTCGAGTCGACTCATTGGCAAAACCTGTCGCTTGGGGCGGGATCGCCGCTGGGGTCCCATCTTTCCATCCTCCCATCCTGGCTCGCGCATTAGCGTATGCAGCAGTGTATGAGACTGGGTTCAGTTTTATTGCTCACTCGCACATGATTGTCCGCCCGTCAGTGTTCTGTTCTTCGTCTCGTCTTGCTGTGAGCTCGTTCTCCTCTTCGCCCAGAAAGATGTACCGCCGACGAAAGGTCAGGGTTGCATCGCATTGCATACTCCGCAGCAGGCGACGGTGTATGAAAACAGAAGACAGAGAGCCTTGTTTCGCCCGGCCCAGGCTGTCTAAATGTCGACTCGCCCTGTAGCTGCGATGCATGCTGCAGTTTTGGGAGACGGAGACGTTTGAGTGGTTGTCAAGTAAAGTGGCATTGGTGGTGGGTTGCACGCCCCAATAAGAAACTAATTGCCGCCACCACCTGTGGGCGCAAAATGATCCCAAAATGAGGGACGACTGCGTTTCAGTCACGACCTCGTTTACCCCATGCACGTTTTTTTTTGTTCGGCTTCCCGTTCTCGGTGTTCTCCTCATATTTTTGGCCCCCAACTTTTTCCTGGCCCTGTCATACCAGCCGCGGACAGCGGATCCGCAGAGCCTGCATCATCCAGGACTGGCTTGACTGGATAGAATGTCAGGACCGAGGCCTGTGCTCCTCGTGTACTTTCCTCTCCTCCAGTCGTTTTGTTTCTCACTTTGCCCATGCACCATCTCTGTTTTGTCGTTCGGTGCCGACCACTGTTTCGGGTTCACCCACTCTGTCGGGATCTGGGCCCATTTTGTTCAGGATCCTTTGTGACTTTGTAACGTTGAGTTGCTCGGACCCTACTCGCATCTTTTACAGACATTTTGTCAAACTTTTTTTCAAAAAGGAAACCAAAACGAACATCTGGCTTGGGAATTTTGCCGCTCAAAGTTCATTGCTTCCAAACTCTGTCTCGATTATAGTCTCGACAGCCGATGTTGTACCCCGTATTATGTCCAACAACTCCTGTTTGTGGGCAACAACGACCCAGCAGTCTGGGGCCTCTATTCCAGACGGATCCATTGCGATGCTTCCTGTTGTCCAGTCTCTTTATCGCTTTTTGCCCCATTTTTAGCATATTTGTCACCGCTTTTTCCTTCTTTCGTCAGTCTGTGTTTCCTTTCCTTTTTCTTGCCCTGAGACTCAACGTCCTACCGAGTACTGTTTCTGACTCGTCCTTTCTTCGGCCGTTTGCCCCCAGCGATGCAAGAGACAGTAATTATCCCAACGCAAGATGCACAACCCGCTGTGGATCATATTTGCGTTGGCCCCTCCATCCTCCTCCACCTTTGCCATCCGCGGCCCCCTCTTCTGTCACTCACTTCCTCATTCGGCCCGCCGTCCTTTTGTTTATGAAGTGAGTCTCTTCGCTCCCTGGTTCCTTCATTTTCCAGTGCCGCCTCTACCTGTCCCGTGCTGCGGGCCAAGTCCTTGAGGAACAAGGAGTTGAAAAGGAAACATGAAAGGGGCAGGGCAGAGACCTCCGTTCTTGTACAATGTACTCTGTAAATTGAGCAGGAGACACTGAAGAATTGCAAATTGCTCGCTTTGTTTTGTGGCTCTTGATTTGGGTCATCGTCATTTCCATACATGTTTCTCCTGTACGACCGCATCTATTCCCAACTGAGTCCCTGCCTCCTCTTGCATGACAAGTTGGGTACACAAGTCGGACTGCCACAGACACGACACGCGAGAAACAGTACGATGCAAAAATGAGGCTGTTGTGGACGCCTCGTGGACCCAATCTGTCGGGACAGCACATCAAACATGGCCCTAGTTGTCGGTATGGATCCGCTCTTGGTTGTTTCCATCACTCTTTCTCTTTTCCTTGCTCTCCTTTAATTTCTTTTCTTTTTTATTTTGTTCGAGACCTTTCTTCTCTCCCCTGTAGCTTGCTTCTCTTCACCGGTCCTCGTCTCCACTCGGTCTGCACGTCTGCAACAGGTCTCATCCGCTCAGCTGGGTCGCCAGCTCGTGCCTTACTGCTTTGTTGCCTGCCTGTTTATCGAGGCGGTCAAGACATGACGTTCTTACCGGGAAAAAAACCCCCAAAAAGGCCCAGACGAATGGAACCAAACTCGGCACTCGAAAAGCATAAACACAAACACAAAACTCCGTAGTACCACCGTCTGTCCCGAGCGTGCCCTTTCTGCATTTGCTGCCCTTACGTCCTCCCCTCCTCTGGAACGCCCCTCCTCTAGACCTCCCCTCCTTCCTCTTTCCCGGGATGATCGACCCTCCATATCCTTCCCCTCGGACATTCAATTCCTCTTTTGATACTAGCTGCGAACCTGCTAGCTGGGACAGACGACCCAAGCGGGACTCCTGCGGGACCCAGGCGGATGGGACCACGGACGAAATTATTTGAAATACGTCGTAAAACGAAACGAAACCCGACTTCTGTGGTAAAAAATCGGCCGGGCTCGAGCAACTGTCTTACGCTCGTCTTTTGCTTTTGCTCCTCTTATTGTCCTCTTACTCTCCTCTTGCTCTCCTCGTCTGGCGCCACATCGGGGCTCCATAAAATCGACTCCTTTCTGCATGAAAAGCAACAGCACGCCAGACTACAGTCGACTAGCTTCCGGCCTATTTCCTCTTTTCCACTCGGGTCGTTTTTGTTTTACACTTTTGTTCTCTAGTGCTCATCCTTCTTGGGCTTTTTTTGGTACTTGGGCGTGGGTCGGTCTGCGGACAATCCCTTGCTGCTGGGTCGCGCCTTCTGTTTTCCATTTCCCGGGTCAGTCCACGGACCCGACCTCTTGGTTCACTCCTTCCTTGTCTTCCCCCTATCTCGGGTCATTCTTTCCTTCTTTGCCGTTTCGTCAGTCCTGGGACCCCCTCTTCCCCTACGTTTTTAAATACATTTGTCGTTCCCAAACCCTCGGGTCCGTCTTCTCCCTCCCTCTCACTCTAGACATCGTCTCCTTCTCCTGTTCTTCATTACTCTTCTTGGCCGTCTTCATCACGTAACCCTTCCTGGACAATGTTCCGTCATTGTACTGTTTTATAGCCGTTCATTGCCCGATCTTTGCCTGTTACATTTATATACCAACAGACGCCAAACTGTCCATCACATACGTGCATATCCAACAGCAGCCGCCAACATATCCCCGAAATCGTGTTTTGCCCTGTTGCCATCGATTCGCCTGCAAATGAAACGACCTTTGTCTCTTTTGTGTGTTCAAGGTCACCATCTAGCTGCACTTCACGCGTTGCAGTAACTGCCACCTTTTGACATACGTCTGTGGTGCCAACAATACACAACTCCCCTGTCGCCTAGAATGGGGTTCTTCTCACCACCATCCTCGAGCAGCAGTCGACATCGTAATCATGGCGGCGGCAGTAGCAGCCACCGGCACCGCTCCGGCGGCGGCCACCCTTCGTCCTCTTCGTCTCGGCACAGCGGCGGCAACAATGGCAGCAGCAGCAATCCTCGAAAGAAGGCGGCGACTGGTGGTGATGGTTCGGCAGCAGACGGAGTCTCGGGCCCGGACCCCACCGGCATGTACACCGGGTACGACCCGACAACCGGCGCGTACTACTACGACTACGCCGACGGTACCGATGCTAGTGGGTACTACGCCGCCGAGGGCAGCAACGCCAATCACGGGTACTATGACCACTACGCCGGAGGCCACCCGTCCGCCACCACAACACCAGAAGAGGATGCGGCCGCGGCGGCCGCCGCCGCCGCCACGGCCGGCGAAGACTACTACACATCCTCCGTCACCAGCGCTGTGGCTGAACACGTCTACGAGGCCGGCCTGCAGTTCCACGGTTTTCAACGGTCACCGCCCACGTCGCCGGCCAACTCCAACGTGGTAGGTCCGTCCGGTGCGAGCAGCCAACGGGGCAGCAAACTGTACGCCTTGCCCAACGACGAGACGGAGAAGAACCGAGACGATATGAAGCATGGCATAGCACTGCTGCTGATGCAGAACCGGCTGTTTTACGCGCCCGTCGATGCCAAGCTCAAATCCGGTGGCATGGTGTACGATCTGGGCACCGGTACAGGCATCTGGGCCATGGATGGTGAGTTTTTTTTTTTTTGGTTGTCTTCGTCTACTTTCTTCCCTCATCGTTCCTGCTCTCTAACAACACAAAACAGTCGCCGAACAGTTCCCCAGCACTGTTGTCCGCGGCATCGACCTCTCGCCCATGCAGCCTGCCTACATCCCGCCCAATGTCAGTTTTACCATTGACGACTTTGAAGACGAGTGGGTCTTGCCGCCCAACACGTTTGACCTGGTGCACATGCGCTTTTCCCTCTGGGCCGTCGACGACCGCGCCGCCCTGCTGCGCCGCGCCTTCCACCACCTCAAACCGGGCGGCTTCGTCGAGTTCCAGGATCTCGTGCCCCTCATGTGCTGCGACGACGGCACCCTGCCGCCCGCCCATGTCGCGCCTAACGCCCTGCGCGACTTTGCGCGGTACGTCGGCATGGGCCTGCGGACGTCCCAACGGCTGGCCGGTGGCGACCTGTTTGACGCGATCACGGCCGACCCGAGCGACCCGCACCTCATGGACATGATCTTGTCACAGGAGCTGGCGGCCGCCGGGTTCACGGGCATCCGCACGGTGCGGCACAAATGCCCGCTCGGCGGCTGGCCAGAGCAGAAGGAGATGCGGCGGTGCGGCCTCCTGCTGCGGCAGGCTATGTTGGAAGGTCTCCGCGGGTGGTCGCACCGGCCTCTGGGCACGACGGCCGACGGGCTGGGGTGGACGCCGACGCAGATCGAGATCTTTTTGGTGGATGTCCGCAAGGCGATCATGGATACATCGGTGCATGCATACTTTCCCATGCACATCACGTACGCACAGAAGCCGATGGTGTAGATGTAGGCGGGTGCGGAAGGAGACGATACGAGATATGCTTGCTACGATATAACGACTTTTAACGAAACATTGGTCATTTTGGTCTTTTTTTTTGTTTTGGACGCACGGCTACTTGGGCATTTCGGTCTTTTGGTCTTTTGGTCTTTTGGTCTTTTGGTTCCGGCTTTGGATCATGGTGCATGCAGTTAACGATAAAATATTCACATACATTGTTGGATGGACACATACAGCTACATGATTCGATGCTTGGTTATATTCTTCCATCCTAAATTATCTATCCTGCTGAAATGTGGCAAAAACTATCCAGTCCTTTTGAGTGAGTTCATTCTATCCAGGGTCCTTATTTTCATTACGATCTTTTCTTCCCCAAACGTATCCATCTACGACCCTCTCGTTACTCCTTCAGCAAGTGACTGTCTGCTGCACCGGCACTCTCTGGCCGCTGCCAGAAGCGCGGAAGCTTGCCCCAGCTGTGTGTAACGTAGTCGCGTTGCAGCACCGTCTCCGCTGCAGACGAGGCCGCATCGTCGCCGCCCTCTGCCTTGGTTGCCGTCAGCGCCCACGACGTCACGCCCAGCATCAGGCATGTCTCGAACATGAAGGCGCAGCTGCCCGCGCCCACTTTGGCCGGCTGCTGCGGCTGCGGCTCGTTGCGCGCCGCCTCGTAGCTGGGACCGTCGGGACCGTGCCCGCTCATCGTGTTGTGCAAGCTGCCGCCGCCGGGCACGAACCCGCCGGTGCCCGCCTTCTTCGCGTCGTAGTTGCCCGCCAGCAGGCCCATGTACTCGCTCATGGTGTTGCGGTGGTACCAGGGCGGCCGGAACGTGTTTTCGCCGACGAGCCAGCGCGGCGGAAAGATGACAAAGTCGGCGACGGCGGTGCCGGCGTGCTCGGAGGGGGCAGTCAGGACGGTGAAGATGGACGGGTCCGGGTGGTCGAAGCTGATGGAGCCAATGACATTGAAGCGGCCCAGATCGTACTTGTACGGATAGTAGAAGCCCTGCCAGGCGACGACGTCAAAGGGCGAGTGCGGCTGGGTAGCGCGGTAGATGCGGCGGTTGACTTTGGCGCGGAGAACATACGCCGGTTCGGCGGCGTGTGCAGCCGCCGGCTCGTCAAAGCACGCCACGGGAACTTGGAAATCACGCGCATTGGCCAGCCCGTTGGACCCAATGGGTCCCAGCTCCGGCAGCTGGAAGTGGCCCTGGTACAGCTCTAGCGCGTACCCGCGGGCCATGCCACCACCGCTGTCGTCCCCGTCGGCCGCCTTGGCGATGTGGACCTGGAACCGCACGCCGCGCGGGATCACGCAGATTTCCAGTGGCCGGACCAGCAGCCAGCCCATCTCTGTGCGGATGTCCAAGACACCCGCCTGCGGCACAATCAGGAGATCGCCGTCGGCCGAGTAAAAGGCCGTGTGGCTGTCCATGGACTGGTTGGCCGCATAGACAAAGATGCCCAGGCCCTGCTTGAGGGTCGGGTCGCCGGCGCCGGCGATTTGGCGGAGGCCACTAACAAAATCGGTCGGCGCGGTCGCGGGATCCGGCAACGGGAACGGATCCCACCGGAATTGGTCGGGCAGGTAGTGAAGGGCGTCTGTGTCCTTGCTGTCGTGCGTCAAGGCGTCGCCTTCGGGTTGGAAGGGGCTGAGCGAGCAGGCAGGCGTGATGCGGTAGAGCCATGACTGCTTGTTCTCGTGGCGAGGCGCCGTGAAGGCGGTGCCGGAGAGCTTTTCGGCGTAGAGGCCATAGGGTGGTTTCTGGGGAGAGTTCTGGCCGATCGGCAGGGCGCCTGCAACAGCTTCGGTCCTAGAGATCGGGGACGAGACGGATCAGCATAAACCAAGAGCTCCAACTGGCCCCCAGACAGAAAACAACAAGCAACGAACTGGCACAGAAGACGTACTCGTGATATGAATCGAAGCCGTTCTGGTAACGGTACTTCTCTTTGACGCTGAAGTCAGTGACCGGCATGGCGGGCAATGCGAGCTGTTTGGGATGTCTCCAGTTCCAAGTGATTATCCAAGAGTATGCGTGCGTAGTGTATGCGGATGCGGATGGGGATACGGATGCTCATGTGAGGTAATGAAGAAGACAGATTCAAACGGGGGTTAAAATATTACGAGGAAAGACAAAGACGAACAACATAAAAGAAGACTGCCTCCTCTACCTCCGAGACAATAAAGAGCGAAATAATAAAAAAGCAATAGTATCCCCTCTTTGTGGGTGGCCACCAACCGTGACGTTGGAGAATGGCCCGGCTGCCCCGTGGGGTGCCGTCCAACCGTCCACAGTTGCCTTGTTCAGACAAGTACGCGGTTGTCAAAGGCGACTTGGTGATTAAAGTCGCATGGTGCGACCCTGTTCATGACGAAAAGAGGGACAACGGCCATGGCCTCTGCTCTCAGTATGGGATTCCGCCTGCCGCCACCGATGTTAGCCGAAGGAAGGCGATTCCGCGCTGTCGGCTTTACGCCGCTGGCTGCATCCCTGTGCCGCCAGGTCACGAGATCTGGCACGAAATGGCAGACACCACAACACTGGACACGTCCTTCAGCTCGACACAATATAGAAATTCTCTGTACATCTCTTGCAATCTACATCTTTAAATAGACCCAGACCATTCTCTAGACCGTGTGCGCGCCAGAAACGGCTGCAGCCTTGGTCCGAAGCCATGCGCGCACGCGACCCCCAAGCTGTTCCCCTGAGTACGTTTGGAGCTCTCCAACTTCGTCCCCTGTCGTACCTTGCATGAATGTCTGGTACATCTCATGTCTACAACCTGTCTCCGCTCTGTGCAGCTCTACCATGTGCGAAGCGTTCCAGCTTACGAAATACCATTTCGCTGAGATGTGCGATGAGCGAGCCAAAGACGAGACCCACAGTGTTACGACTTGTCACAATCATTTGGAAAGCCAGTAATTTTGTAGCAAGAGTCAATTGATCCGGCTACTTGCTAGTCCTCCTGGGCTAGTTCTTTTTTCTTTCAAAAACGTCTCTACTTCCACAAGTGGTGATTTGCACAAGGACGCGAAAGACGCTGCCCGTGAGCGGGTTGCCTCGCAGAGGCGCGCCGCTCAGGAGCTGGCTGCCTCTTTCTGGTCGGATTCAATGCCCTCCCTGAGAGGTATAGGGCAAAGAATGAAGAATAGTACGGTATGTCCATAAAGGGCTGGGCGGTGTTTCCCGTGTGCCACCAAAGGGCATGCTAGAGGCAAGGCACACGGTGTCGACCGCGCCGCCCGGACCCGGGGGGCCGAGGATTCATTACTCGTCCTTGTTCTTCTTCTTCTTACCCTGGCCGCCAGAGTGAGAAGCAGAAGACTCCCGCTGCAGGTGCACAATCAGGCGTGTCCAGGACTCCTCTTTGTCCCACTCAAAGCCCTTGAGGTACGGCAGGTCGAGCTCGTCGTCAACCTAATTTGTTAGCATCCGGCTGGTGGAACGACAAACAGGTTGCATTTGATGTCTAGAGAAACTTACCCGCTTCTTGAATGCCTTGTGGATGGCATCCAAGGCGTCCTTGATGGTGACGCCCTTCATGTTCCGCGCAGTCACTTCCAGGCCCAATGGGAATTGCAGGTCAATTTTCTTGACTGGTGGCGTGGTCAGGAGCTTTTTTAGGATATCCTTTTCGTCAATCGAGTTGGGTGACGTGTTGATCTTCCATCCCGTTTTTTGTGTCTCCGGGGCGAGCTTGAGCTCAATGCCCTCGGCCTCTTGAGCATGGTTAGAGATGTTCTATACAAGAAGACGATATGACGGTCTCAAAACATACCGAGATCATTAATGTTCCGTACTCCTGGGTACGACGTTGAGCCGGTCTTGCGGTGGCCCTTCTCCTTGGGAGGCGACGACGACAAACCCTGGACGGCAGAATCGACCTTTGACAATGGTTCCATGGTGGGGAATTGGTGGTTGTGATGCCTTGTAGTGGGCTGAAAAGAAGTACGTTTCCTCGGAATGGAGGATTGAAAGTGGTCTGACACCCCAAGAGCAGATATCGTTAGCAAACGGACAAGGCAATGAGTCGATGGGTTGAGTTTGGCAGCATGGCCGTAGCATGGAGCACAATATCACAGGCTCCATGAGCAATTGCTCTCGGGCTACGTAGCATGCGATGGATGTGCAGGCGACGATTTTGAGCCCGAGGCTCAATGTGCGAGACAAGAACCAAAATAGACTTACAAAGCGATTTGATAGATGCCGAGATCTTGCAGCAAGTGTGGGATGATGCGAGATGAGCGGGAGTGCTTGATTGTTGTGCGCGTGATAATGGGAAGCTTCAAGTGAAGATGGTGAGAGAGAGGAAGAGAATAGAAGGGCAAGAAAGAGGGGAGGTAAGAGCTTAAAAAGGGGTTGAAGGGTAGAAAAGGTAATCCGAGAGCGAGGTAGGGCCTCAGGTAGGAAAGAAAGAGGGGAAACTCAAAACAGATTGGTAACGGAGGGGAGGGGGGGTGTGCATGTATGCGCCGAAGCAGCTCAGTGAGAAGCAACCAAGGAGAAGGAGCGACTGAGCGGGAAAGGGGGCTGAATGTGAATGGCCGATTGATGTCGTAGGGTTGCGTGAGGAGCAATAGGTAAGGAGGTGTGACTCGCGTGGTGGTGGAGGAAGGCACACAATGATGTGTATCTTTCCTACGAGTATCGCCTTCCGCCCTGGGCACGGCACCCTCGCGCCAGGTAAGAGGGGGGTATGAGGGAAAAGATCATCGCCAGAGCAGCTCCAAATTGGAAGCCGTGACCCATTCTTGCCATTAGGCGAGACTTACGACATCATCGAAGGCCGATGAAAAGAGGGAAGGAGAAGGCGTGGGCTATTACCGGGGTGCCTTTCATGGGCCAAACGGGCAAGAACGACAAAGGAAAGGTCACGAGCTAGCATCGAACTGGGCCCACTGCTGTACTGTGTAAGAGGGCGAAGAAGCTATCGAAACTTCATTAGAGGGGAAGAGGAGAATTGGAAGGAGCAAACGAGGGCGAATGCGCAGAAGGCAGGGACGATCGATCACCTGCCACGGCGCCAGCGACAATGGTGGCATGCCCACGTAGGTTGATTTGAACAGGGTGAGTCGGGCCAATTCGTAGCTTCCAAGCTCGACTACGAGTACTTTCCTCATTTGAGAAGAGGGGGGAACGAGCAGTCTTACGCCGCGCCCCAAGAATGGGCACTGCGCACCAAACCCCTCAAACAAAGCGAATGGGACACACTCCCAACACATGTCGCCAGTGAACAAAGCGAGTCGCCTGCAACACGTCTTGCAGTCTGGAACCCAAAGAACGCTGTGACAAGAGATGTTTTGGTTTGACTGCGTTTGTGTATCGCTCCTCCCTGCAGATGTGCACAACCGCCCGGCTGTGGCATCTCGCTCTTTCTGGATTTCGCCTGCCTCGATGACCTCACACGGAAGGCGCGGACTGGAGCAGAGGGGCAGGTGATGTGATTTCCCGTTTGGCGAGTGGGGAAGGTGCCTTGCCCTTACGGCGTGCCAACAGCGGTTCCCCTTGTAGCTGTTTGTTGGTGCAGGACGTCGCGTCCCTCCTGGAGGTTGGTCGTATCGAACGCTGCTTCTCGCATTCTTTCACGGTTCCTCCAGGTCTTACAGTCATACGCCTATGAATGGGCATATCAAAGGATACAAGCAAGACTCCGAGCTGAGAGCCCAACAAAAGACCAACAGGAAAGGAAAATGGAAGCAAACAGGCAGCTCTGGCTGTGTCTCACCATCCCTTGGTTCGAATCGCGTGACCACCCAACGGTCGCGCGGGAACACAAGAGCGGGGATAATCAAATACGAAGCTCAGGAGGGCGTGGCAGGAGTGACATAATGGACCGACCAGGGACAAACAATGTAAGAGTGAGATGATGAAAGAGGGGCTCCACTGAGGTGCTGCACGTCGCTGCAGGAGAGAGCTTTCCCCCCGCTGTGAATCTACGAGTGGGTCAGAAGTGGGTCGTCGATTCGTACGAGTGTTCATGGGCAGGAGCGACTGTATTCCTCCGAGCGCTGGTTCGCCTGGGATCCAAAGTGTTTGGCAGGCACCTACCAGATGTACTAAGTAAGGGCATAGGTAGGTCCACTAAAGGTAAGTCTCTCTGGAGGCAAAAGGGCCTTGGTGGGTGCGCTCTGCTTGAAATGGGCCTAGACATAACGGAAGAGTAATCGCCCAGGACGAGAGAAACAGCAGAGAGCAGCCGTCACCAGACAGCGATGGCCCACTTGTCGGCAGTGTCCAAACAGCTCCCTGGGCTGCTAACGCTCCCAGGGGTTTGGCGTCAAGTATGGGTCACGGGAACAAAGTGGGCGTGGCGGACGTGAGCCAGGTGGAAATCCTGGGGAAAAACTGGGGAAAGCGGGTCTGTTTGTGCTTTCTGGTCTTTGGCTCTCAACCCAGGGAAGGTGCGCACGAGGGCCACGATTGCCTCTGCCTCAGACGTTGGTGAGAAATCGAGCATGAGAATGTAGACAGTGAGATATGAGATAGAGCAATCTAAGGGGCTTTGAGTCTAAGCCGACTGTCGTTCACTCCACGTCTACAGAACTGCCTATTTGCGTTGCAGTCTCAGATTCTCACATTAGAGACAAGTCAAACTGGCAATTACAGCGCCAGGCTCCGGTGTCGGATCACAGCCACCAAAATGCACGACAATTCTCATTCTTTTTAACGTCGGCATTATACGACATACACGGCGCGTTAGTTGATACTCGTTCTAGGCTGCCGATATTGTGGTTCTGCGGCGAGGAGAGTAGCATTCTTTGCTGTATTTTAATATTGATGTCTCGAAGTTTAATACAAAAAAAAAGAAAGGAAGTGGCTATTCGAGCCAACCGCACGCAACCGTAACTAGACAGATTACACACTTAGATCTGTGACAGTTTTTTCCCCAGAGGGTTCTGTCTAGCTAGTCGCCAATAGTCAGGAGTGGCTGAAAAAGGCGGATAATAATAATAATAATAATAATAATAAAAAAGAAAGGAAAAAAAAAAAAAAAGGAAAAAGAAAAAATGTAAAATGAAAGAGCAAAACAAAATACAAGTTAAATGAAAAACAAAAAAAAATTAAAAAAAAAAGAAATAATGTATGATCTCTTGGATTTACTCGCTTTCTCTTCATTTCAATTCCGCTTTTCTTTTTTAAAAAATCGCTTATTGGAAACGCAGCGTAGAGCCCACCGGATTAATCGATGACATGTCGGACGGCGTAAAGAGAACACATAATTCAATACACCATACTCCTGCTACTCTTGCGCCTTTGCGAGAAACCAAACGGACATGTGTTTTCAAATGTTTCCACGTGTTTGTTCGGTATTCAATGTGTCTTTTACGTATGTACGGAGCATTTTGTCAATAATTATTACCTCACTTTTTCTTTTTTTTTTTTTTTTTTTTTTTTTTTCTATCATCTTCTTTTCTTCTCACTCGTTTCACTTCATGTCTCGCTGCGTCTGGCTGCGACAGTTTTCGTCACTTGTTGGACAGTAAAACAGGGAATGCTTGGGAGGAAAGAAATATGGAAACAGTCAAGGCCCTGTTTTGCCAAGGTTTATTGTTTCTTTCTCAATACGCAGCCGTGCGACGCATTTCAATCTACGGCCCAAAGCCTTATGTCCTCTTTTCCTGCTGCCTCCTCTTCTTATCCTCCTTGAGTTTCCTCTTATGTATTCCGTCTCTCATATTGCGCAGTTATACCCTTATTCCCATATGCCCATTTGCCCATAATTTCTATTTTCTATACATAATTCATCAACATCCATCTCCTCTTGATTGCTCTATTTGTGCTCTATCGCGCTTTTCGCCCCTCTCTTTCATCACCATCCCGCCATGCCCTTTGCGGTCTTTTGCGGGCCTTGAGGTACCATTTTGGCAAAGCAGACGACGGTAAGAGAGGGGCCTGTCCACAACCGTACATGCGAATCCACAGTGAAGGAAGCAAATTGTGTGCGAGAGAGTGACCAAATAAGGATAAATAAACAGCGAGGAACGTTTTCGGACGAGGTCCAAAAGTAGGTGAGAACGAAGGAAAACCGAAGCGATAAAAAGTGGAAAGAAAGAGCGGTCGGTATGTGCGCGCGAGATAAAGAGACGGTGAAATGAAAAATGAAAAGGAAGAAAAGTAATGAGAAAAGGAGAGAATGACAACAGAATAAAAGGTCGCAGCACCCCCCTGAGAATGAAGAACGGCGACGAAATGAAAACGCCAGAAGAGAGTCTCTCAACGGCCCATTGACTGTCGTCAATCCTTCCGCGTTCGTTCATTTGCATTTTCTCTTTGTCGGCCGCGCCGCTTGGCTGTCATTTTGGGAGAGTTTGTCTGATTGTTGTTCTTTTCTTGGATTCCATCTGTTGGGTCTGTGCTTCATTCTGTACTGTTCCTCCGCTTTTCCTGTGTGCTTTGCTGTCCTTTCTTTGATCGCTTCTCATTGTCTGTTGCATTGCGGGCGGGCATCGTGACCTCACTTGCTCTTCCCTCGATATCATTGAGCGTTTATTGTTTGTTCCCAGTCTCTTCAGCTGTTCCTCTCGCACGATGCATCTGCCAGCCTGTTTCAACCTTTCTTCCTTGTCCTCCTTTCCCTCCTCTTTCCGACCCTCACTTCCCTCGTTGCCATCCTTACGATCTCTCACATCTCTCCCTTCATTACCCTCACTACGCAGTCTCGACTCGCTCCGCCAGCATCCCAATATGCTCTCCATCGCTACCCTCTTTGACGACGAACAGCGCCTGCTCAACCGCGTGTGGATCGTCCTCCTCGGCCTCGAGGCCCTGCTGGTGCTCGTCGGCACTATTTCGGCTGTTGTTCGGGGTGTGGTGGCCTTCCGACGACGCCGGCCCGGCGGCCTACGCCGGGCCGGCAGCCACCATCACGGGCGACCACGACGAGTAACGATTGAGCTGCCGGCGACTGCGTTTCCGGATTACGAAGACCGACACACGGATGTGGACGGCGACAGATATGACGAGAAGACGGGCATGGATACGTTTATGGATGCGGATATGGCTATGCACGCCGAGCACGATATCTTCTATGCCGACGAACGCTTTCACACGCCGACACGAGCACGAACACCGACGCACATAGTAAACTCGCCATCACGAAACGTGTGAAACAAAGCATAGACAAAACGACATTGTGATGTCATTACGAAACATGAAACTGCATTATAATTTATGAACGATTATGAACAAAACGAGATATGGGTGCTACGACGCAATTGGACCGGACTGGATCTACGCCACGTCCTAGTCATACAGATCGCTGTTTTCCTGGGTCGTCTTGGTCGAGTGCGGCGATGTCACGCGGATGCCATGCTCGAGCCGCTCCAGCGTCATCGCGTGGCCCTTGTGGGCGCACCAGGTTGTGACCATCTTGACGGCCGTCTTGATCTCGCGGCCGTTGAGGCTCCACGCGGCGAGCTCTTGCAGCTCCTCGTCCGAGATGGAGACCGCGGCGGTCGCCTCGGGGGCACCGGGGGCACTGGCGTCGCTGCCTTTCACGACCGCGAGGGAGCTCGGCCCGGGACGGGACGCGTCGCCTTCGCCTTTGCCTTGACCTGCAGTGTCGTCGCTCTCGGCGCCCGCCAGGACCTTGACAACGGGCCGCTCCACACGCGCCAAAAACTTGCGCCACACCGACAGCCGCGCCTCGGGCGTCAGCGGGCGGAACAGCAGGTGCAGACTAACACGGCTGCGGAAGGCCGTGTCGATGGTGTCGTACAGGTTGGTGGTCAGGAAGATGATGCCGCGGAAGTACTCGAGCTCGCGCAAGAAGATGGAGACGAGCTCGTTGCGGGCAATGTCCTGCGGGTGGCGCTCGGCCATGAAGACGTCGGCCTCGTCGAGCAGGATGACGGCGTCCCACTCGGTGGCCATTTCAAAGACCTTTTTGATGTTGGCGCCGAGCGTGGCGGCGCTGATGCCCAAGTCTTCGGCCTGGAGGTAGAACAAGGGCCGGTGCGTGCGGTCGGCCACGGCCTCGGCGGTCAAGGTTTTGCCGGTACCGGGCGGGCCGCTCAACAGGATGGTCAAACCGTCGCCTAGATAGTTAGCATCGAGTAACTGCAAACTTGCCTATTTTTGGGGGGGTTGGGGTTTGTTTGGTTTTTGTTCCCGGGGCTGGCTTACCCTTGCCGATGATCACATCGTCCACTTTGTGCTTTGTATGCCCGTGGCTCTCGACAAACGAGAGGACCAGGTCCTTCTGCTGCTCGTCGTATACCAGGTGGTCGTACGCCTGGTCGTTCCATGCGACTGGGCGGATGTCCTCGACGAAGAAGGAGACTACAAAAGGGTTAGTGTACGTCGTACA